CCAGATGGGTGAGGCGAAGTACTACTTGGGGATGCATGTGGAGAGAGATGTGGAAAAGGGTGTGCTGAGGTTGCACCAGAGGAAGTACTGTGAGGGGCTGGCTGAGAAGTATGGGCTGCAAGATGGGGGAAAGCCAGCAACACCACTACCTTCAGGGTTTACTGTGGAGCCATGTGCTGATGAGGAGTAGTGGGTGATAGTGACAGGAAGCTGTTTCATTCGATGGTTGGGTCGCTGAATTATGCTGCAAATCATACACGGCCTGACATTGCATTTGCTACATCACGACTGGCTAGCGTGGTTTCACGTCCTAGTCATGAGCAGCTGGAAGCGGCCAAGAGGTTGGTCCGCTATGTGAGTGCTACGGCATCAGTGGGATTGGAGTACAGTGGAGTGAGGCAGCGGTTGCAGAGAGGTGCTGCAGATGTGAAGAGTGGTGAGATGCTCTTGAGTTGCTATACTGACGCTAGCTTCAACTCAGTGAAAGCGGATGGCACCAGCATTGGGGGTTATGTGTGCTTGCTGGGAGGTGGTGCTGTGAGCTGGCGCAGCAAAGAAGCAGAATGAGGTGGGATTGTCTTCATGTGAGACTGAGTACATGGCCTTACACCATGGGCCAAGGAAGTGGTATGGCTGAGGCGTTTGTTGGAGGAGTTGGGAGTTGGTCAGGAGGAGCCGACAGTTGTGTTCTGTGACAATGAGTCTTGCAGTGAAGCTGGCCAAGAATGCTTGTCTGCATGGGCTGACAAAACACATAAGGCCTAAGTGGCATTGGGTGAGGAGAATCCTTGATAAGGAGGTGCGGCTGGAGATAGTGAAGACCCATCAGCAGGCAGCAGATATTTTCACTAAGCGTCTGGCGGAGGCGGATCATTGGAAGGGCATGAAGCTTGCTGGGATGAGTGTGCATTGAGTATGCATGCTTGAGATGTGGTATGGTCGATGATGGTTGGCAGCCAGAGGGGGAGATTGTTGTGTGATGTCATCATATGCTATCACATTCTGTCTGCCTCTCATCTCTTGTTTCAATTCGTATGTATGGTTTGACTGTGTGTGAAAGAATTTGTGTGTGGTGTGTTCTGGAGTTTGGGAATGTGTTTTGTGTTATTCTGTCTGAGCAGGTATTTGTGATGATAGATCTTGAGAAGATCTTTCCGACGCAACAAGAATCGCTTCAATCGGAGCAAGAACGCGAAAGCTATGAAGATTCAAAGTTCATGAGCTTGCGTTACAATTGCGGCGGTTACAAAGTGAAGTTGTGGGGTGACTTTATATGGAGTTGGGACCTTTGGGGTTGGGGAAACTTGTCACTCTACTGTAACAGCTGCAAATTGGTTGGGAACAACCAAGCTAGGTTGGCAAGGGTGGCCAACTTGGATGGATTGGTTGGGAAGGGACAAAGGTCAAAGTTGAGGTTCCTATAGGGAGGGAATCTTTGTGCTTATGGGGTTTCCTTGGTTGGGGACTCTCTTGGGACCTTCCCTCTCATCCTTCTCTTCCTATCCCAACCTTTCTCTTGCTCCTTCTAATTCCTTGTGAGATTCTTGAACTTTGATTGAACTCTTGAGATTGAGTTAAGTTCTCCTCCTACAGCTTACCCCCTAGTGCGTCGAAAGCCATAGCGTCGCGAATACTTCATCAATCAACGTGATTCAAATTGGGAACGGTAGCTGAGATCAAGAGCTACAACATATCCAAGTTTCGCGACATTCCAACGGCTAGTGTTTTGTCGACGTCGTTTCTTGTGAAGACGACTTTTCTGTCCAGAATTTCGGATTTATATTTTGAGTAATTCTAGCTCCTAAGTTCACCTAGACTCTGTCCTTAATCCTAACATGCACCGCTGCTGCATTGCTCTTGATGGCGGACTCCGTGCTCCGCTTCGACGCAGAGGGTCAGCCGCTTGAGTTTGACACGTGGCTGGTCGACCTCCGCCGTCATCTCACTGGTCAGCGGCAGGACGGCCACTCCCTGGCTGTCCACCTTGACAGTACGCTTCCCTGCCCTGACCCCCCTGCTCCCCTGCCCCCTGACCCCTCGTCCGCTAACCGTGAGTCCGCTGCAGTTGCTGCCCTTGCCCGCTCAGTCTGGTTGTCTCGTGACGCTGTAGCGCAGCTTGCGATCAGTCATGCCCTCTCCCTGTCTGAGCGCCCCCGCTTTCGGTCAGTCACGACTGCGCAGGAATTCCTAGATGCTGTTGTCAAGCGCTATTCCACCCCGCCTTCTGCCTCTATAGGTCGCCTGATCCTACCGATGCTCTTCCCTGACCTTGCGTCTTTCGCTACTGTTGCTGACCTGGCTGCCCACCTGCTCACGATAGACGCGACGTGGCGCTCTGCTTAGAGCCTTTTAGCCATCCCTCTACTCTACCCTCTACCTGCTTGCCAGCCGCCTCCCTGACCGTCTTGCTACTGCCCGCGACCGCTTTCTTAGCATCCACCTCGGTGACCTCACCCTTACTGAATTTGTTGACACCCTGTCCGCCATAGAGACCCGCCAGCGCTCTATCGCCAAGACCAGCGGTACTGTGCCGGTCCCTATCTTCCAGGGTTGTGCCCCTGCTCAGTGCACCTTCTTCGACGGTTCTGCTGCTGTGGCTGAGACCGCAGCTGCAGTGCAATTCCGTCCGGGGAAGGGTCGCCGCCCCAAGGCTGGGCGCGGCGGTGGGGTGGTGGTCCAGGTGAAGGTGGTGGTGGAGTCGGGTCGCCTGGTAGTAGCGCTGACAGGGGGACCGTGCCTGGTGCAGCCGAGCAGCCGTCCCAGTAGCCGCACGCCCCGCAGCCGGACCTGCACCAGCCGCAGCAGCCACAGCAGCCGCAACAGCCGCAGAGGCGGGCGACTGGTCTCCCGCCCGGGTAGCCTGGTACTGGTGGTGGAGCTGGCCGTGGTGGTCGCGCGCATGGTGTGCCGTCGGGTGGCAGTTTGAGTGACGGACGCTGTCAGTACCAGCTCCAGACCGGTCCACGCCGTGGCTTCGTTTGTGGTAAGATCGGTCACACCCCCGTCCACTCTTTCCGTCGCCTGGACGACCTGTTTTGTCAGCGCTTCGGCCCGTCGCCCGACCTCCCCGACTGGTACAGCTTGCTTCGCCGTAGTGTTCTGAATTTTGATATGGACATGGATGAGCTTTGTTGTGCCCTGTATGTGCTGTATACTGATGACCCTAGTGTGACTGTTACTTACTACCCCTTGTTGCCTAGTGTAGGCGTGTCTAATCTTGCCTCCCCTGCTGCGTCAGGCGTAGGATCCCCTGCTTTGTTTAGCCTTGGTTCTTCCCTTGCTGCTCCGACTCCAGCCGCCACTGCTGCGCTCTCCTTCACCTTGGACTCTGGCGCTTCCTGGTGTTTCTTCCGCGACTCCACTACGCTGACGCCACTCGCTACTCCTGCTGCAGTTTCCCTTGCTGACCCCTCCTTCAGCGCGGTAGTCGCACGCAGTTCCACCACCCTTCCCTGTCCTGCGGATCCTTCGGGCTCTCTTACAGGCCTGCACATCCCCTCGTTCTTCAGGAACCTAGTTGGTGTTGGCTGCCTCCAGGACCTTGGCGTCACCACTACGTTCCCTCGTCACGAGCGGTATGCTGTCTGTACCGAGGCCGCCACTGGTGTCCCCCTCACCACGTTCCCCCGGGACCCGGTGTCCGGCCCGTTCACACTAGACACCGCGACCCCCCCGGTTGGGACGTCTCCTCAGGTGGCTGCGTTCTACCCAGGTTGCGTTGGCCTGCTCCAATCGGTCGCTTACTCACCGGACACTCCTGTGGCACCATTGTCTAGGTCACCCTACACTCTCGCGTCTGCGTCACACGTCACTGGCACGGTCTTGTCCTAGGTCTCCCTGTCTTGCGTCTCCACTCCGACCGTGGTGGCGAGTTTGCCTCTGGTGTCCTTGGTCGTTTCTGTCGTGCAGAGGGCATCACCCCAGACGTTCACCTTGCCAGACTCCCCACAGCAGAATGGGTCGCTGAGCGACGCATCGGTTTGGTCATGGAGGTGGCTCGTACCTCCATGATCCATGCCGGTGCACCCCATTTTCTGTGGCCGTTCGCCTTTCACTACGCCGCTCACCAGCTTAACCTATGGCCCAACCCCAGCAGCCGCAGGTTTCGCCGACCCTTCTTTGGTCCGAGTCTCCTGGTGACGTGTCTGCATTCCACGTCTGGGCTGCCTTGCTCACGTTCGTGCCTCTAGCCACGGACAAGCTCACTGGCCACACCACTCCCCTGTGTCTTCCTAGGTTCCCCCCTTGACTCGTCTGACTGACAACGTCTACCACCCGCCGTCTCACCGTTTCTTTCATTCCCGCGACGTCACCTTTGACGAGTCAGTCTCCTTCTACCGCCGCTTCACCCACCGCGGTCCCCCGGTTACTCCCCCCCTGTTCCTGGTCCCCCCTTCCCTGGTGGCCCCTGCCCCTGCCCCTCACCCTCCCCCTCCCTGTCCTGCCCTGTCTGGTGTGTCCCACGTCACCCCCTCACGCCGTTGTCTCGGTCGAGGAGTCTGCTGACTCTGGTGGCCCTGCGGTGCAGTCCTCGCCGCCTGCCCCTCCCCAGGTGTCTCCTCCTCCGCCGCCTTCGCAGCCGCTGTCACCGCCGACACCGCCGCCGCAGCCGTCGTTGCAGCCGCCGCCACCGCAGTCGTCGCAGCAGCAGTTCGTTGCCTCTGGGGGTGCTGGCGTTGGGGTGGGTACTAGTCCTGGGGTTCCTGTAGTGGCTTGTCCCGGCGGGCCTGGGGGTGGTTCCGGTGCTCAAGGGGTTTGGGCTCTGGGGGTGTTCCTTCTGGGGTGCTGGAGTGGAGTATTGCGGAGACAACCGTGAAGCAGCTTGCGGTCTCAGTGTCGGTGTCGAGCCGCTGCAGCAGTAGTCACCGCCGGTGTCAGCCCTTCGCCTGCTCGGCCTTCCGTCCCCTGACCACGCGTCTATGCCTCTCCTACCGTCTCCTCCTCTTCCTGTCTACGGCCTATGTTCCCTCCCCGGACTCGACTCCGGCTCGTCTTCCCCCTCGTTCCCCTCTTGTGTCCCCTCCTCTGTCTCCTGACCCGACTCCTCCGTCTCACGTCTGGTCTCGTCGTCCCTCCTGTGCTCACCCCATCTCCCCTGTCCCGAGCTCTCACCCTATGTTGCTTCGTTCCCACGTGTCTCGTCCTCCGCTCCTACCGTCGCCTCCTCCGTCCTCCCTTATTGTTGCGCCTCCCCCTCTGTCTGACTACGTTCGCGCCGCTTGTCCTCTTGTTCCTCGGATCCTTGCCTCTCAAGTTACCGACCTGTCTGTTCCGGTCTCGTGTCTTGACGCTCTTGTCGCTGCGTTCGCTGACTTCGCCTCTACCCGCCGCCTTGACTATGCCACCGCTCTGGTCTCTGACCCTGCCAGTCCTCCGTCTGTTGGGGGTGCTGCTGCCCTTGGCAGTGACGTCCTGGAGGACCGCCAGTACGAGCTTACTTTCCTGTCCGAGGCTGCTCCCCATCTCTGTTCCATGCTGCTAGTTCCTAAGGGTGACCCAGACGCTTTCGACATTCCGACCCCTCGCACTTACGCTGAGGCGACATCAGCACCTTGGGCCTCTCAGTGGATAGCTACCATGGAGCAGGAGATGGCATCTTGGAGATCCACCGTCACCTATGTCGACACAGTTCCTCCACCTGGGGTGAACGTAGTCGATGGCCACTGGCTTCTTCAAGGTGAAGCGCCCTCCTGGAGAGCCGCCTGTGTTCAAGGCGCGCTACATGGTTAGAGGCTTTGGTCAGCGTGAGGGGGTGGACTTCTTTCAGACTTTCGCCCCGACCCCGAAGATGACTACTCTTCGGGCACTGCTACACGTAGCAGCACAGCTTAACAACGAATTACACTCCCTCGACTTCTCCACTGCGTTTCTTTAGGGCAGTCTTCACGAGCAGGTCTACCTGTGCCGTCCTCAGGGCTTCACTCAAACCTTCCCTCCTGGGACCCAGTGGCTCCTGCGGCGACCCTCGCGGCCCCGTGTTTGCTTCGCCGCCGGCCCACCGCTGACTCGTGCCTGACCCGTCCTTCCCGACCCGCACTGCACCGCACCCCCGGCACCGCTCTCCACCGCACTGCGCCGCGCTGTACCGCACTTCACCGCTCCGCACCACATTGCACGGCACTGCATCGCTCTACACCGCACTGCACTGCTCTGCATCACACTCCACCGCACTGCACCACTCTGCACCGCACTGCACCGCTCTGCATCATTCCCTGGTCGCCTGATCCTACCAATGCTCTTCCCTGGCCTTGCGTCATTCCCCACTGTCGCTGACCTGGCCGCCCATCTGCGCACGATAGACGAGACCTGGCGTGCTGCCAGCTTAGAGCCCACCAGCCGCCCCTCTGCTCTGCTCTCTACCTGCTGGCCACCCGCCTCCCTGACCGACTTGCCACTACCCGCGACCGCTTCCTTAGCGTCCACCCCGGTGACCTCACCCTCACTGACTTTGTTGACACCCTGTCTGCCATATTCGCCCGCAGTCCTAGGTCACCCTGCGCTCCTGCGTCTGCGTCACATGTCATAGCACGGTCTCGTCCTCGGTCTCCCCGGGTCGTTCTCTGAGTTTC